GAGTGAGGGAGTGCTTCTCTCTTGGAAGAGAATTGTGTGGACAGCAGGAAGAAAAGGGTTAATGGAAACTGAACTGTCTGCTCTGAAAGCAGGCCGGGTGAACGTCAAACAAAGCTGGTGAGAGCCTATCAGCACCTTCGTACCTTTTCAGGTGTTCTGAACCTTCCTCACCATAGAAGCATTTGAGTCAGGGGAGACCTTTATAGATCATCTTGTCCAACTCCACAAACCATCCCAGAACCTCTTTGCATGGAGGGTGATCCCATGTTGGGGTGGGCTGTCCAGGGAGGTGGTGGAGTCCTCATCGCTGGAGGGGTTCAAGAGGTGTGTGGACATGGCAGTGAGGCACGTGGGTTAGTGGTGGGCCTTGATGCTGTTAGATGATGGGTGGTCTTAAGGGTCTTCTCCTGCCTGAAGGACTTTATGATGCGACCATACTGCTTTACGCATGTTGCATCTCTTCATCCAAGAGTAGAACAAGTCTCTGGCAGAAAAGCAAGGTTTCCAAGGTCTCCCCTTTGTCAGGATTTAGAGCTGCCAATCATTTTGGATCCCGTCCTGTGGGTAACCTGCCCATCTGCTCTCCTCCACCTTTGGCAGCTCTGATATGGGACATTCCCCTCATGTTGTGTGACCTGGGCTCAGTGGCATGCTGTGTTCTTCAGGTGGGTGACAGTTCCCAGGCAGCTTGGCAGCAGCAGCAAGCTCTGCTCTCACCCCAGAGACACCATATCTGTATTTAGTCGCTTGCCTATCCATCTCCAGCATTGACTTTCAATGAGACTCGTGCTCCAAAGTCATTGCTATAAAAGGAAGCTTTCCCATCCTCCCTTCATTGCTCACAAAGGGTAGCTCACCCGGTGGGGAAGCTGTAATGGATACCCTGGCTGGAGGTGCCAGCAGACGCCAGGAGCACGTGCTCAGCAATTATTACATTTTTATCCCTGCAGTGCTGCCGGTGCCCCCAAGTGCTGCTAGCTGAGTTGCTCGCATGTGCCAAGTTCCCAGCCTTGCATTGCCTAGCAGTCTGGAGTCAGCAAAGAGCACCGTGCTTGTAGAGAGCCCTAAATGGGAGCAGCTTGCAGCTCATTGCATGCCAGGGTCCTCAAGGGAGGAGGAAGATGGGAGTGTGGAGCATCCTCCTGACGTTTCTCTGGTTCCCCACTGCCCATCCCACCAACAGCAGTGCCCTTCAGTCCTGCAGCGACCTAAAATCTGATGAGTTTGCATAAACCTCATGGTCTCTCTGGGGCTTTGCTCACCTCCTGTTTTGCTCTTTCTCCATTTTTCCTCTCTTGGGAATCACCAGCGTGTGTGACCTAAAATGCTTGGTCCAGGTTTCTGGAGAAAAAGCAGTAGTGAGCAGCTCTTCCCTGCCTGTCCCTACTCTTGCTGAGAGAGTGGAAAAAGCAGGCGCAAATCTGGATGGTCAGAGTGTTTTCTGCTGGGTGTGTGCTGAGCAAATGAAGGACATTGCCAGCTGCTCAAGGCCATGTCATAACGTGTAGTCATAGAATGGCTTGGATTGGAAGGGACCTCAAAGATCATCCAGTTCCAACCTCCTGCTATGGGCAGGGCTGCCAACCACTAGATTAGGCACTAGATCAGATTGTACAGGGTCCTATCCAACCTGGCCTTGAACGCCTGGAGGTGTTGAGATGAGGCAAGAAAGTCCCAAGGAAGGACTTGAAGGTGAAGAATCTGCAGGGTGAAAACCAAGTTCTTAAATGAGATAGTGAGGTGACTTAGTCTCTTTGCTAAAATAGCACACTGCAGTAACAGAATCTGGTTGATGTTGTAACTCAAACCACTTCTAATTTTTAAGGAGAGCCAGGAGATCTTGACTTTGGAGAAGTAAAAGGTAGATGAAAAATAATTAGCAACAAGTGACTGGAGTTGCTCTTGGAGTTGCTCTTGGCTTTGGCATGGGAAGTTGAAGGAGTATGATGGCTGATTGATGAGATGGTCTTTCTGCACCTTCCACCTTACAGTCTGTGGCAAGATGCAGCCCTGATAGCTTGGGCTTGATAAGGAGAAGTGATTCCAGCCTGGAAGCTGCATCTTGTTAAAGGGTACATGCAGCCAGAGCGGGGAGGTTTCCTCTGAATTCATCCTGCGGGCTTAGGGTTTGATGGGCTTTTTATGTAGTACCCGAGGAGAAGGTCATGCTGGGAGGTGTGGGACAGGGAGGGAAGGGCTTCCTCCTCCCTACCACCCTTTGCTGACATGAGTACCACACCTATCGCTCTTCTTTTGGAACCAGAAGGACCTGGCTCCATCTCCACCCCATTACTTGGTTCCAGCTGGCCCAGTGGGCCTTCCCAGGTCTTATCAGCAAAAACTCTTGGCAGCCAGGGGATTTCCATCACCAGCTGTTGTGTGAGCACAGGCTCACTGCTGTCATGCTCTCCTCTTCTACCTTGTTGGAAAACAGCTGGTGCTGGTAGGATTTGAAGCCCTGGAGCTTTGGGAAGGATGGGACAGAGCAAGCCAAGGGTGTTTTCATGCAACTGGTTTGGGAAGTGCAGGAGGGGCCTCTCAGAGCTCTTGTGCCACTCAAGAAAGTTGGCAAAGACAGAGGTGACCTTTTCTTGCAGCATGTGATGGAGGCAAGCACACAGATGCTCGTGGGTGACATCTAGTCCCAGTCTGTGCACTGCTCACACTGTTTGGGTTTTCCCCACGCACTGCTGTGAGCATTGGCCATGGTCAGCAGTGCTGACGGCTGCCCTGTGGAGTTGTGCCTTTTGCCCCATGCCTGGGGCTGCTCCCAGGAAACCACCCCAGTGCTAGGAGCAAAGCCTTCCCTCTGCCCCCGGGGTTTTTTGATTCTACATGTTTTCATGCTTCAGTTGTGTTCCTTTGCTCGCAGACATGGAGCTTACCCTGCCAGTGGGTATTTCTCCTGAAATTGCTTTTCTCTACTAATCCAGTTTAGTATGGCTGAGATGCCTGTGCTACATCTTTGATTTGTAATTCAGCGGTGATTAAATTCTCTTGATAAGATATGGGCCTTGTTGATCCAGCATGAGAATTGGGCTCAAATAGAGGTGCCCAGCCAGGGAAGCACAGCTGGTGGTGGTAATGGCCATTGTAAGCAGCCAGGGGTGGGTGCATGCTTTGTCCCACGCTGTGGCAATGGGACTGGCCCTGCCAATAGCTGGGAGAAGTGAGGAGGATGGGGCTTGCTGCTGTTCCCCATAGGGCTGGGCTGGGCATGGTCACGGCTCTGCAGGGCTGAGCAGAGAGGAATGGAGTGCTGAGTGGTGGCAGCAGGCCAGGCTGTGTCTTGGTTTCCGGCCTGAGCCACCCCAGAGAGTTTGCTGAAGTTCTTTGTAACCCTTTCTGTGCCGTTTCATGTTCTGTGACAGAAGCTTGTTGGTCGCAGTGGGACGTGGTGGGTTGCCAGCAAGGCTGCTGTCCCTCCACCACGTGACGTAGTGCTGCTGGCCTTATTCAGCTAACACAAAGCTGAATCCACTCTACAAGTCCCCGCTGCAGCTGGTGGTGTGATTCCCTTATGGGTGAGTCACAGGATGTGAGTCCCGTGGCTCATGATGTCCCCTGGGGTGCAGAAATCCAGCAGATGGGGCAGGGAGGAGACAGCTCTCACCCTGTACAGTGCCAGCACAGGGAGAAAGTGAGCTCTTTTTGGTGCTGCTGGTTGGAAGTTGGGATGAAACAGCCCCGTGGTGCCTCTGTTCATACCAATGCAATGCTGGGTGCTTCTGTACCCTAGAAAGGTGGTGAGAAGGAATACGGTCCCGTCAGCAGCTGTCCTTGTCCATGCTTCCCTAAACCTTTGCTGTGCCTTAACCCTTGTTCAGGACTCCTCTGCCCATCCCCACGTCATCCCCGACAAGGATGTGTGCAAGGGGGAGAGCTGTTTGCCCTCCTTATCCTTTCCTCCATTCAATAAGGACACTGTTTATCACTGTGGGTAAACAGATGGAGGTAGGGTTTTTCCTATTCTATATTTAAAGTGTTTTCTGATGAATTTACAGACCATTGTCTCAGCAGTTTCCAAACTGCCCTTGCAACCTATGTTTCTCCCCACCCAGCACTTGCCCATCCCCTTTAGTTTTCCCACAGTCCAGGTTTGAAGCAGCAGGCTTGTTCTTTCTAAGCTTTTTTGCTCTGGCTCTGCATTCAGAACCATCTCAGGTTCACCCCTTGGAGCCACCAGCCCCAGAACACCGATTCCTTTGTAGTTCCTCACAGTCCCCCCTGAAAACTGCAGTGGAGTGCATGCACACCCGTCCTCCCACGTGTGTGGTAGTGCTGCTACGTCCAGAACAGACTGAGATAGAAACAACAGAGGAAATAGCTTTCCCTAATCAGTCATTTTTAATGTACATTCTTGCCGTCTTAGGGGAATTTGGGATGTATGTAGGGCTTATTTTTCCAGCTGTTTCTCCACACAGTCACATCTGCCACAGATCTTTAACATAAAGCTTGCAATGCGCTCATGGAAGTACTGGAATGGGGAGCATCCCTGCTTGTGCCAGGCACGGCGAGGCTTGTGGATACATCGGTGCACAGCTCTAACTACTGATAGCAAAAATATTTGACACTGGACTTCCAGGCAGGTATTTAAAATACATTCATGGCTTGCACTTTGATTCACAGGAAAGTTATTTGTCTGGTTTTTTTCTTGCTCAGAAAAAAACTTTGTGCAGTGCTCACCAAGCGGGGGTGACCTTTGAGCTGTCAGAGTGTTTGTTTTGTCTGTGTTTTGGTTGTGTGCAATAATTGCTAATATTGGGAAACATTTACCACTTCAGCTGTTGCTGTGACAACAGTGCTGCACGCCCACTTTGTGCCCAATTAGAGCTGCAGAGGGCTTTACTCGAGCAAAACTCCTGCAGGATCTTACTGTGTTTCTGCACAGTTATGTCATGGCAGGCATGAAACGTGCAATCCCAAGCAGTGGGTGATGGTGTTTAGCATTATTACTTGCTGTTTTGGAGCTGGACTGGCAGCACCTTTTTGAAACGTGCCAGCTGAATGGAGCATCTTTTCTCCCTTCCTTGCTTCCCACTGCATGTCTGCTTAGTGCCCTTTCTTACTGCTGTTCTCCAAGTTCCTTGTCTTACCCAGCTCCTCTGATAAGCCCAGCCGTGGCTGTAAGCCCAGTTCTCAGCACCTGCAAAGCCCTCTCCATGCTGATTTCCAGCAGAACCCAAAACAACACTCTTCTCAAAGGGAAAAGTGTTTGTGCAAAGCTTCTCCCTTTCTTTTCTGTCTGCAGCCTCCTGCATCCTTACGGTGACTGCATTCCTGGCATACCAGACTTCAGATGGCTTGAGAAGCATCTCGAGCAGGCTGGAGTATCTCCTGCTTTGACTCCCTCCCCGGATGCAAATTTCCTCTTTCTACATTCCAGAAAAGGGTACTGATTCCTTCAGGGCTTGCTCCTCCTTGCCTCCAGATCTGCAGGTTTAATAACAGCCAGCTGCAGCCCAGGCAGTTGGCGGCCAAACACAGTGCTTGTCTTCACATTCCCATTATCTCCGTGTTCCCAGCAGAGCTCTGCCTTCTAAGGAATTTAGGTTTGGAGTCATTTTCCGCTTGATCTGGTTTTGAAGCAGGGGAGAAGACTGCATGAAGTGAGGAGGAAGGGAGAGCAGCGATAGGAGGGGATTTAAAGTCATTTGGGTTGCTGAATTCAAGCAGGGAATTCGGATTGATATGGCTTTTGATTGCCCAGGGCTTTATTTGTGAACCTCTCTTTGGTGCAAACCTGAAAGAGCAAAGTGGGGCTGAGGGTCTGTGCTGCAGCCTTGCCTTCAGCTAGTAGAGAGGCTGCAGGCTTGCTTGCCTATGTGCTCCTGGGCACCCTCCAAGTTCCAGCACAGCTCAGTGACACCAGAGGAGCTATTACCAGCGCTTGCATCAGCCACTGTGCTGGTGGTGAAAGAGAAAGGGTAAGAGAGCAAGCATGGAAGAGGATGGCAGTGCGAAGCCAGGTAGTGGAAGAGGTTTGCATCTGCAGGTGATGTCCCACCAGGCTGCATCTCTGGATGGTCCTTTTGGTGAGGTGTGGGAAAAGGGCTGAAAGCGTGCATAGACTGCGTGTTGCCTTCGAGATCAGTTGTGCTGCTGGTGCCTTGGGAGCAGATGCTGAAAGCAGAGATGGCTGTTTGCATGAGGAGGAGATGTGCAGCAGTGTCATGCAAGGCCAGGCTGCCCTTGCTGACCAGACCTTGATTATTAGGAGTCCAGAGGTAATTATCATGATGCTTTAAGGAGAATACGGCACTGTGACTCCTGCACATGGTCTTGGGCAGCCTGCTCCAGGTGTCCCCCCTTGAGCGGGAGGATTGGACCAAATGTCCTCCACAAGTCCCTTCCAACCGTAATTATCCCGTGGCTCTCTGACAGGAGGAAGTTTTCCTGAATCAGCACTGCAGGGCCGGCACACAGGTGCAGACGGCCTTTTATCTGGAGTGCTTCTTTGATAAGCAAATGGGAAAGGAAGGATGCAGCTGCCCTGAGTCAGCCTGAGGCTGAAGCAGTGGCACGTGCTGAGCTCGCATCTTGCACAGTACATCGTGTGGGTGTCGTGCCGGGAGCAGGAGGCATTGCTAACATGCTGGCTTTTGTTTTTACCTGCAGGCGGGCTGCCCAGGGTGCTGTGGTATCTCCGGGCTGTGTGGAGGAGCCATGCCCACCTAGCACTGCCCAGGCTCTCGGCGAGCTGAAGATGGCGGCCCAGAGGATCCGGGCAGCCAACTCCAGCGGCCTGCTGCGCTGCAAGTCGGAGGGGACACTCATCGACCTCAGCGAGGGCTTCTCGGAAAGCAGCCTGTGCGACGTCAAAGGTGGGGGGCCAGTGGGGGCCGTGGCCACCAGGGGACAGGGCAGGTGTTAGCCTGGTGCCACCGTGTCGCGTGCAAGAGAAGAGATGGATTTGCCAGGCTGGTGACAAGGCAGGGTTGGTTCTCCATCCCCCCCAGAACAGATTCAAATGGGAGAGAATTCCCATTCCCTCTGTACAGATGGATCCCAAGGCGGAAGGAGAAGCTAGCATGTGCTGATGGTCTTTAAAATAAACATGCAACAAAGCAATTGTTTTTGCACAAGGAGCAAGGAGAGTCCCGAACATCAAATGCTCTTGCTGTACATCAGTTTGTTTTTAATGCAAAAATAGGGATTACTCACATCCTTGTGAGTAATTACTCATGCTCACATTCATGCAAGGGAAGGGACTGTCCTGCTCTGCTCACTCTGCACTGGAACAGCCTCACCTTGAGCACTGGGTGCAGTTTTGGGGCACCGCAGCGTGGAAAGGACGCAAAGATATTAGAGAGCATCCGGAGGGCATCAACTTCTCTCCAACAAATGTCTTGGGCTGCAGAGCTGCATTAACAGCCATTTCCTGCCCGGGTGGCAAAATAGGTTCAGTGCAGAGTTTATATATAGTTTTACACTGAATAAATGTGCTCACAACTTTCCCTACCTGCTGGTAGAGGCTGTGCAGGGGAAGTAGGTTAATGATGAATCACTTGATGTGTACAAGCTCTTATTTTCCTAATACTCGAGCCCTGTGGTCCTTATATCTAAAACTTTTTTTTGCTCTTACTGGCTGTGTTTTTCAGTACTGTTATCACGAGTTGTGCCATGGCTGCACCACATCTTTTTTGTTAGCTTTCCCAGTTTTCTGTACGGCTGACAGGCATCCTGACATCCTGTGTTTTTCTGTGTTTTTGTTCTTTCCTCCCTCCCCCCCTCCTCCCCCCAAGCAAGCATTGTTTTCTTAGGTCTGTCTCGCAAGATAACAAACGTTTGAATGCTGATATAACATTATCTGCAGCTTATTTCTCGTGATCCTTAACAGAAGTAGGTCCTAAATGTGAAAGCAAAACAGTGACAGAGTGAACATGTCTAGTCTTAATTGAACTGTTTTGCTTGCAATTGTGATCAGATAGTACTGGCTAAACAACTTGCAGCCAGCCCTGCTGCTCAACGTTGTTGAAAGAGAGACTGGAGATGCTGCTTGGTCCATGGGAGGTCAGTATGGTGTTTGTGGTGGTTCAAGTATCCTGACTTTGTAAAAGGAGCCAAGTTTTTTTGAGGAAATGTGGTCGTCCCCTTAGTGGGTACTCTGAGCTCTCTCTTACCCTGAAACATAAGTGGGGAAAAAAGGCAGTGCTGAAGAGCTGGTGGCCTAAGATGTTGAGATACCACTGACCAAATTTGTATGATCATGGCCTTGAAAGATCACTTGGGCCGTATAACCTCTTCCCATGCAGCCCTCCCAAAATTAACCTCTGTTGTTTTAAATGTGAAAATTTAGGGGATAGCCTGCTATTTACCCTTAAGAACTTAGATCCAGTAATGCCAGCTAAAAGGCAGAGCTGATAAGATGGGGCTCTGGCTCCCTTGGAACTCCCTTCAGCGCAGCTTTGTGTGCATCATTCATCAGTGAGTTCAGAGGCTGTCTCAGAGAAGCAGCTGAGAGAAGTTCTAAATCAAGGGGAAGGCTTCTTGCTAAGACGCTTTGCTGTATTGTTTACCCTCTTTCTCTCCACATGCCTTTCTACCATGGGATGATAACAAATTGCTGTATCTCCTGTCTCAGCTCCTGCTGTTCTTCCTAGTTGTTTTGATGCCCATCTCTTTCAAGAAGGCATTTTCTCTTCAGCATGAATGTATCAGATGTAGCAAAGTGAATAGTTTTGTTTAAAAATGGTAGCAAAAAGAAATTACTTTTGGGTTGGGGATGCTTTGAAACTACTTCGGCTTCGCTGCTTGATGTAGCATGGATCGCTTGCCTCAAATAAATGATTTTAAGTAGCTTGTGACTCTGTGGATTGCTTACAGTGTTTTTCTATTTCATTTCACAGTGCCTTCTCCTAGTGCCTTGCTGGTTGACAATCCCACGTCCTTTGGAAATGCAAAGGAAGTAATAGCAATCAAAGATTACTGTCCAACTAATTTCACCACTTTGAAGTTCTCTAAGGGGGACCATCTTTATGTCTTGGACACATCGGGAGGCGAGTGGTGGTATGCTCACAATACCACAGAAATGGGTTACATCCCTTCCTCCTACGTCCAGCCTGTGAACTACCGCAACTCTTCCTTAACGGACAGCGGGATGATAGACAATCTACTGGAGAGCCCTGACGAGGGGGTCAGGGAGCTAGACCTGCTTGGGGAATGGACTGATGTGAAAAGAAACTCTGTGAAAGCCCACAGTAACAACCCTTTCTTGAACGGTGTCCAGACAAATCCATTTCTCAATGGGAATTTGCAGACGTTGACCTGCTCAGACAGAGAGCCCAACTCCAAAGCATCTGTTGACTTGCTGCTCTTCGACACGGGGCCTCCTGCTTCAACAGTTCCTAGCTCAGCTGCTAATAGCAGCATGGGTAACATTTTTGATGAATTTCCATCCACAAACAGGCTGGACCTGGAAGAGTCTGTGAAAAGGGACAATCCCTTCTTCAGGAGCAAACGCTCTTACAGCTTGTCTGAGCTGTCTGTTCTGCAAGCCAAGTCAGACACTCCAGCACAGTCGGGTTTTTTCAACGGTTTAAAATCTCCCACTCCTGAGCAATTCCAGAGCAGGGAAGATTTTAGGACCGCATGGTTGAACCATAGGAAGCTGGCCCGATCTTGCCATGACTTGGATTTGCTTGGTCAAAATCCTGGCTGGGGTCAGACACAACCGGTGGAGACCAACATTGTGTGCAAACTGGATAGCTCTGGTGGAGCTGTTCAGCTTCCAGACACCAACATCAGCATCCATGTGCCAGAAGGTCACGTGTGCCCCGGGGAAACGCAGCAGATCTCCATGAAAGCTATGCTAGATCCACCACTGGAGCTCAACAGTGATAAGTGCAGCACCATCAGCCCCGTCCTGCAGATCAAACTCAGCAACATGGAGGTGAAAACATTCATCATTCTGGAGATGAAGGTGTCTGCAGAGGTTAAGAATGACATCATGAGCAAGAGTTTGGTAAGACTGCAGTGCCTTCGGAGCGACATGAAGGAGGGGCCATACACACCAATGCAGCTGAGCTATTCGTATGGGGACACGATACAGGTGCAGCTGGAGAACCTGGAGCCTTGCATGTACATAGCTGCTGTAGCTCAAGGGCAGAACATCCTCTACCCTTACACTGTTTGGGATTATATCAGCAAGAAGATCACAGTTGGTGTTTATGGCCCGAAACATATTCACCCTTCCTTTAAAACAGTTGTGGCCGTGTTTGGGCACGAATGTGCACCCAAGACTCTCCTAGTGAACGAGGTCACGAGGCAGTCTCACAGCCCAGCTCCAGTTGCCCTTCAGCTCTGGGGTAAGCACCAGTTTACTCTGTCCCGGCCTCAGGACCTCAAGCTCTGCATGTTCTCCAACATGACCAACTATGAGGTGAAAGCTAGTGAGCAAGCCAAAATTGTGCGAGGCTTCCAGATGAAGCTGGGCAAGGTCAGTCGCCTTATCTTCCCCATTGCATCCCACGATCCCAACGAGCTCTCGGATTTCACGCTAAGGATACAGGTCAAGGATGACAAGGATGCCATTTTGACCCAGTTCTGCGTCCAGACGCCACAGCCGCCTCCTAAAAGTGCCATCAAACCGACAGGGCAGAGGCGGTTCCTCAAGAAGAACGAGGTTGGAAAGATCATCCTTTCACCTCTGGCTGCCACTGCCAAGTATCCGGTTTTTCAGGACCGGCCGGTGTTGAGCTTGAAGTATGGCAAACTGCTGAAAACAGTGGTGCGGCAAAGCAAGAATCACTATTTGCTGGAGTACAAGAAAGGAGACGTCATAGCCCTCCTCAGTGAGGAGAAGATCAGATTGAAGGGACAACTGTGGACGAAGGAGTGGTACATCGGCTACTACCAGGGCAAAATAGGCCTCGTGCACACCAAAAATGTGCTGGTGGTTGGAAAGGTCAAGCCCAGCTACTTCTCTGGGCCTGATCTCACCACCAGCCTGTTGCTCGAGCAAATCCTCAGACCCTGCAAATTCCTAACCTATATCTATGCCTCCGTGAGGACTCTTCTCATGGAGAACCTCAGCAGTTGGAGGTCCTTCGCGGACGCGTTGGGCTATTTGAACTTACCGCTCACGTTTTTCTGCCGATCAGAGTTGGACAGCGAGCCGGAGCGAGTGGCCTCCGTGCTGGAGAAGCTGAAGGAAGACTGCAACAACACAGAGAACAAGGACAGGAAATCTTTTCAGAAGGAGCTGATGATGGTGAGTCCGAGGTCTGATGAAGGCATCTTCCTTGATTGTGGTGCAGAGCGGTGGGGGTGAGTGGGGGCTAGGCTTTCCTAACTCGGTCACTGAAAAATGAACTGAGGTTTGCAGATTGAATGGGAATTCAGGCCTGTGGTGAGGAATGAAATGGGTAAAAAGTTGTACGTGTCAAGTGAGTGAAGCAGGCATGCTTGGAAGATGGCTAAGCTGAAGGCCCTTCAAAGCAAGGTGGTTTCAGTCCAGTGCTTTCCTAGTGCTCAGCTGGACCTTGCTGCTGAAGGCTATTTCAGCCTTCAGTGATAAATAGAAGATGTGCATGCGTATCAAGGAGTTACCCAGGAGCTGTTGGTTTCCTCAGTCCAAGATCAAAGTGATGCCAGTGATGGAGATCTTGGTTTTTTTGTGGCAGAAAACTGGAAAAAGGTGAGAAACATAAATGCTTTTCCTGTACGGTGTGTGGTAGGCAAGCCACCTCTCAAGTCATAGAATCATGGAGTGGCCTGGGTTGGAAGGGTCTTCAAGGATCATCAAGTTCCAACCCCTCAGCTGCAGGCAGGGACATGCTTTTATATTGCCTCAAGTTTCTCAAACGTGCAGGAGAGGGGTTTTATGGCTGCTGTGGAGTGCTACATCTTCACGGTTATGAAACAACCCCAAATTGCTCTATAACAATGTCTGTGTTTACTCCTCCTTTCCTTGAGTGACAGCTAAACCAAGGGCAACTCTGAATTAGGATGCTTTGTGTTCAGCTGTGGGTTGTGTTTGCAAATTGTCTGAAGTGCCTGGCTTGCCTCTGTCCTGAAAGGCTTCTGCAGGCATTTGGGGAAGTGCTGTCTGCAGGTTTTTCTAGGATGCTCTTCAGAAGTCTCTAATGAGAAATTGTCTTCACGATAACAGCTTCTAGCATTTCACAGGAGGTGGGCCAAAGAAAATGCAGACCTTTGTGCTGAGAAGAGATTTGAGTTGCAGCAATTCACGTGTCTTGAAATGCCAGTTTAATTAAGACTAGCACAAGCTTTGCTTAGCAGTGATGCAGGCAGGCAGTGGGGCAGGAACATGCAGCACACAGAAGGAAATTAGAGGTAGGCACATGGGTAAAGAGGACTGCAGCTAAATTAAGCTCTCCATGTCCCAACCTCTCTTAATAAAAATGGGGAAATGTCAGGATTGAGCAGTAGGTGTAAGGCATTATGAAGAGTATGGAGCCTTTCATTACTCATGGAAATTTTTTCAGGGGAGTTCATGGAAGGTGCCTTGTGGATGTACTTCCTCTGCCTAAGAGCACAGTACAATTAATAACTCTTTATAACAGGCCCTGTCTGAGTGTTGGTGTTATTGTGGAAAATGGGAAGATAGTTTCCAAAAGTCTGACTCATGCCTGCACTTAGGGTGAGCACCAGAGCTGCTCACGGAGGGCAAGGATGTCCAAATGCCACGCTGCAGTCCCCAGGGGAGCATCCAAGCTGAAGGCCAGTGGGCTGCAGTTACTGCTGCTGCTTCCCTCTGCTCTTCCTCCCACCTCCTTGCCTTCTCCAGCTCCAGCTGGGCTGCTGCCTGCTGATCTGAGGGAACACTGTGATGAAGAGGTCTGGTGTGATGGTGGGTTCCAGCAGCGTCTTCCAGCAGTCTCTAGCTTGGTGCAGGTGATGGTTGGAATGAGCAACTGTTTGGGCAGCCCCAAATCACCTTGACTTTGAACCACGTAGGTTGGCACTGAGGTGAGAGGCCAAGGAGCTGCTGGGCTGCAAAACGTTGAGTTGGGTGGAGATGAGAGGAGAGCAGGGGTGACCTTGCTGCCTGGGTTTGTGATCTGTGGCCAGTGGGACAATGTTGTAGCTTTGGGTTTCGATAGAAGGCAAGCTGTAGGCCGTGTCATCAACTCAGCTTCTCTTGAGGGAATCTTCTGGCCATTGTATGGCTTGTTTTTTGAGCTTCTGGGAGGCAGCTGCTGCAGCTGCAACAGGCTCTGGGGTAAGACCTGACTTTCTGGCCCACATCTCCAAGCTAAGCTTGGGGCGTCAGTTTGCTTCTCCAGTCAGTGGGCCACTTGGGCTCATGATGCCTGGGATGCAGCCATGTCTTGTGCCATGTTTTGCCACAGCTCATCTAGCCTCAGCAATCCCTCCTCTGCTCTGGGGCTGGGTGGAGGTGGTAGCCAGGGCTGTGTCTGACCCTGTGGTTCCTCAGAAGGAGGCTTGGCACCTTTAATCATTCTGTGAGTAATGGGGTAAACTGTGTGCTGCTCTTGCTGAATGCTTCCTAGGGCTTTGTGCTGATTGCTTTACTGGCTTGCTTTTCTTTTATCTATTCTCTTTGTCTCCAGGGGACAAAGACAGCCTGTAGGTCATGGAGAGGCTGTGCAAACCTAACTGTGGGGATGAAGAAAAGATGAGGCTCTCTGGGGGCTCACAGACCTACTAACTCAAGAGGAGGGCTATAAGCTGCTGGAAAACATACTGCTCCCAAAGGGATGCATCTCATGCAGAGTCCCAGAGCGGGTTTTATTTTCCATGCTTGAATGGAGACATAATCCTGAATATTGGCTCTGTTTCCTATTCTGTGCCAGATCTTGCTGCGTCTGAGCCTGTTGGTGAAGGATGAGCCCTTCTCCTGATGGAAAGCTGCTTCTAAACCCCTTGCTGCTGTCAAATGGTCCTTAGCTTACAACGAAACAAGAGTGAGATTGATTTTTAAAAAACCACAACAACTGTGTTTGGGGAATGACAGTTGAAAAGTAACTTATTTTGTCGCGTGTATGGCTAATTTTATTTGCAACAAGTGGTCTTGCTTTCTGCTGGTGAGATCTGTGTATTTCATGCTAAAGTTGACTGTCCCATCCCAGAGGGACTGTGGAGAGGGAAATGGTAAGGCTGCTTATCTCACATCGGTGTTGAGTACACAGGATTGCCATGGCAGAGCTATACACCGGTAGCTAAGCATGGAAAAGCCCTCTCATTGATGACTAGTTAATAAATAATCTGTGATTACTTACTCTTTTCGCCTAGCAAAAGCAGCAGTGTGTGAAGGTAACTGAGGGGAGCATTGCTCACGAGTTAGTCATCACATCAGAGAGAGAAACAGCTCTCCCCTCCCTCTCTGCCCATCAACCCAGGCAGCAAGCAGGTTGTCTCCTCGAAGCCTGTAGGCACTGCAGCCTGGATCTGCAACGATACACGAGCAGCCTAACAGACCTCTTGCAGCTGGGCAGACCTCTGTGGCTGCTTCTGAGGGGAAGAAATGCGTTTGCTCACTTCTCCATGGCAGGGCTTCAAGGTGACATGCTTTTCCCACACACACAGGCAGCATCGCTGTGGTCGGTGGCTGCAGCCCAGCATGCAGGTGCAAACTCCATCACATTTCCAAGCCTTTGGAGTCCCAGCAAACGCCGGGTGTTCGGGTGCTTTTGAAAATGTGAAGTCACATACCACAGTATAATCCAATGCACTCGGGTTGCCACATGAGAGCCGTGCCAGGTTTCATTTGAGAAACTTGACCTAACTTGCCGTACAGTGGCTGCACTGCCTGGTCCTCTGGAGCTGGAGTGAAGCCTGCCATGAAAGACATCACTTCTTTCACTCTGCATTTTTTGATACGGTGTTTTGGTAGAGCCTTGCTCTTATCAGCCTTTCCAATAAATGCTGCTTCTAGGAAGCAGCACTGGTCTGCTGAGAATATGACTGCACTTGTTAGCAGAGTGCTGCAGATCCTATAAGCTTTTTCTTCTCCGGATAACTGGAGATGTGCTTCTGCTTGCTGTATTTATTGTGTCTGCAGGTGTGTGAATGCTGCCTCTTTTCTACCAAGGTGGAGTGAATGCTGCGTCCTCATCCCTGGTGCTGGAGAGCCTGAGCACTGTGTTCCTGCTTGGATCTCGTGTTGCTGTGCCCGGGGCACACAAGCCCAACCTGCTCTTCTTCCCTCCCCCTAGCTCCTGCATCCTGAATTGAGCTGCTGGCAGTCCTGCTCTGAATTTGGGTCCTTGGTGAAAAGCAGGTCCCTCAAACAGAGGGCAATGCTCCCACCAAGGTTCTGCCAAGCAGGCTGCTCAGAGCAGGGTGGTGGTAGAGCAGTGGCACAGGGCTGGCTGTGAACTTCCCTGCAGGCTCCTAGCTCTGCAGGCAACATCAGATGACCTGCTTTTGTTTGCTGGGGCCGAGAGGAAATCGTTGATGCCTTCCTGTTCCTCGGTGCGGGTATTTCATAGTGCTGTACCTGATGCATTCTCATGCTTGGTTAATGGAACTCGGAACGTTGCTGCTGCTGTAACCACATCTTTGCCTCCCCAGCAGCTACCTTCAGCCCTTTCAGGCAGTGATTAATGCCTGATAACGCTTAGACCCTCCAGGGTGCTTTCTAATTTAAATGCTGTTTAAAAAATCATTAACTAATTTAAAAACTCCATTTCCATCACCGCTTCCTTCTGGGTCTCACGCTTGGCAGGCACGAGTGAACTTGGGGACACTTCCCACCTCTGGGGCAAAGGAGAAAGGCTTCATCCCATGGTTCAAACAGATTTAGGGAGGGGACAACGCATCCACAGCTCCAATGGCTGCTTATCCCATCTTGGCTTTATGATTATTGAACTGGGGTGGGGAGGCATAAAGGGGTGCACAGGAATCACAGCTTTTCAACCCCATTGTTTGCTCCTTCCCTGTCTGTGTGCTGTGCTCCACCCAGGGCTCCCTGCTGCCTGTTTGCCTCGATGCTGTTTGCTGTGATTAGAGGACTGGAAATGGGCTTCTGCATTTCAGAGCCGGGATGCAAATTCAGCCTCCCCTGGATGCGTTTTAAAGTGGAGGCTCTTCTGCTTTGAACTGGAATTTGAATATCAAACCATCTCCTTTGCTGTGCCGCACTGCTCTGCTGGTGGAGCGGGCTTGGGGCCTCTCTGAGGTTAATAAATGCACCCGAGGAGGATGGAGGGAAGCTGTAGCATAATCCCAAAAGCGCCTGCTGGAGGATTACATCTGCTGAGAGCCCTGCTAATCCCAGCTGGGCAGCAAGGGCTTGCAGGGAGCCCAGTGCCTGCTATGCTTTGGCTGCTTATTCCATCACCTCCTCGCTGCCCCATGTTTCCCTCAGCTCACCTAGGGCTCCCTTTGCAGATTGAGCCTTCCCTGGAGGCAAAGTGAAGGTGCCTGCTTATTAGTAGGCTTCGGAGTGAACGTGCTGAGCCGAGGGGAGCAGAATTATCTCTTTCAAAGCTGTGGCTTCAAGTGATTGTACCACTCATAGCACGGGACTCTCTGCTAAATAACGCCTCCCTGCTGTTACTCCTTTTTCCTGTGTTCATTGGGAAGCAGGGTGTGTTTCTCCCAAGTGCTCTTATCCCTGGGAAACAGATCATGTGTGACCAGGAAAGGACAGGGTGCCTCTGCACCGTCCGCCTGATTCAGAACAGTTCACACTTGCTGACTGCTGGTCTCAAGGAGAAGACCGTGGGCCATAATCCTAAATCTGTGCTTCTTAGGACCCTGAAGCCTTCACTTCCAGAGCAAAGGCCCCTGAGCCTGTTGACTGCGTGGAGAGATAACATTGCTGGGAGCTGGATGTGAGTGCTCTGCAGTTATGAATACGGCCCAGATGCGAGATCTGAACGCTTCTCAATGCACAAGAAAAATATAATGCTTTTTTAAATTGTATTTTGCTTGCTTAACGAGAGGGTTTATTATTTCTACTTCTAATGCAGGAAACCAGTGTAAGCACTTTGTAGAAGCAAATGCTGGTCAGAAGCAGTAATTAGATTCAAGCCCAGCTTTGCTTTGTGTAAGCTGGGAACAGATAAGGGAATCAACATATATTTGCTTTGCAAATTGCTGGAGTGGTTTCAGATGTTACTGTCTTCCCCAGCTGTTTGTTACTGTCCCCCTGATAAACAGTCTCTGAGAGGATTTAACCCCTCTTCTTCTTCAGAGCTGCCTGTGTGCAGAGCTGGGTCAGGGCAGGACGTGGTGACCCACAGCCCTGCTGCAGGGATGGCAGCAGAGGGACAGGGAGGAACTTGGGGGGCAATGGTTCCATCCTCTTGCTTGCCAGCTGGGCATCCTTCTGCCTGAAAACCAGTCTTGCTCAAACGTGTGTGCTCTGAATATGTTGGGAATTAGCAGGAAGGAGCAGGTGGTTCTGGCCCTTTTTGGACCACTGAGGGCTTTTCTCCAGGTCCCTGATTGCTGTAATAACCTCCCCACGCTGCTGTGACGTTGGTGTTGTTTCCAATGGGAATGCTGGAGCCAGCACAGCATGCTCCTTGGAAACTCACAGCAGCATCGATGGGGGTTGTCCTCTTTATCACCAAGCTGTGGTTTGCATTTGCTCAAGTGAGCTCCCCTGCTGAGATGCTGAGCGATGCCCTTGGTGTTCAGCTGTCCTGGAGCTGCAGTCCTCATTCTGCTGTCCTTGCAGCTCTGGCAGTAAGCAAACAAGAGGGTGCTCAAGAAAAAAAGAAAGGCAGCAGCTAGCAAATCTGTCTCCTCCTTGTAGTGCGTGATGAACCTGCTGAGCTGCTGCTGCAGTCCACGCTGGGGCGGGCAGGATGGAGGGAGGTGGATGATTAAGTGATGATTAAACCTTTCTGGGTGGTAAACTGCCCCTCAGGGCATCTTGGGATTGTTTGCATTGTTTCAGTGTTACTTCAAAAAACCCATAAAAATAAAAGGGTTCTTGTTCCATAACACAGAACGTGTTTCCATAAACACTGGAGGTCTGTAGAGGGGTTTGTCCGGGGACAGGGCTTGTTCCTGAGGCTCTCATTATGCTTTCCACTTGGCTGTGGCACACGGTGAGGGATGCCTCGTCCTTCCTGCTCGGCTGTGGAGGGATGCTGGTTCTGTTGATCCTCTGATAATCACCATTTAAATGGTTCCTTTCCATGGGTTTTCCCTGTTGCAACTTGCTTTGTGTTTTGAACAGAGTTTTACCTGCTCCGTCCTTTATTCCTGGCTGAATTATTGGTAGGTAGAGAACACACTGCTGTCAGTCTCCCTAACAAGCATTTTCTCTTCTCCATCTTGTTCTGAGGCTGCTTTCCAGGCCTTGTCCCCAAATGTCCTCCTGGCCTGTGCCCACCGGGTGCTCGATGCAGGTCGTGGATGCTCATGCTGGTTGTGCCACTGGACAGTGCTCCTCTGGGCTGGGAGTACAAGCAGCGCAGAGTACAGAGGGTTCATTGTCTTGATTAAAGGCTTTAAGATGCTTTAAACTGCTTATGTGGCTCCTGAACATCTTGAGCCTACACCATAAAGCTGTGGTGGGCAACCCCAGCTGCGCACCTGGTTGAACAGGGGTAGGGCACTCGCTTCAGTTAGTGGTGTGACTCTTCTGTCCTGCCCACTGGCCTGATTTCACCAGTTGTTGCCAGAAAGGAGGCAGGAGGGTTTTGTGGTGGTTTTTCAGGGACATCCCCACCTGATTCGGGCCCACCCTGACTCCATCTTCCTTGTTTTTCCTAATGATCCCGCAGGCCTTGCTGAAGATGGACTGCCAAGGGCTGGTGGTCAGGCTTATCCAGGACTTTGTGCTGCTCACCACGGCCGTGGAGGTGGCCCAGCGCTGGAGGGAGCTCGCTGAGAAGCTCGCCAAGGTCTCCAAGCAGCAGATGGACGCCTACGAGGCCCCGCACCGCGACAAGAGCGGGGTGGTGGACAGTGAGGTGAGGGCAGACCAGCCTTCGTCCTTCGGGATTTTCCCAAGCTTGTTCTCGCTTGTGCAAACCTGTGCTCTTAGGGAATGAGGAGTTGGGTGTGATGGGGGGACGGGGGGGGGAAACGTGGGGACTTTTTCACCCACAGCGCATTTGTTCTGGGATCAAAAGGCATTGAGGATGGTAGCACTCGTTGGATGCTGAATGCTGGGCATGGGCAGAGCTTCATGTTCAGCTCTTCTCTCTCACCCTCTGTCCCACAGGCCATGTGGAAGCCTGCGTATGACTTCCTCCTCACCTGGAGCAGCCACATGGGCGACAGCTACCGGGATGTGATTCAGGAGCTGCACACAGGGCTGGACAAGATGAAGAACCCCATCACCAAGCGTTGGAAGCATCTCACCGGCACCCTCATCCTCGTCAACTCCTTGGACCTGCTCCGGGCAGCTGCATTCAGCCCACAAGACCACGAGGATTTTGCCATCTAGCACGGCTGCTTGCAGCCATCTTTTCATCCACGTCTCATTTATTGGTGGTATCTGTATTTTTCTGTGCTTTTTCCCCTTTTTATTTTTTTTTTTTAACAGTTGATTATAAACAGAAGAAGTGGGGATTGCTCTCCCCAGGTTTAAAGAGGCCAAAGTTTGCAAGTTCTCAGCAGGACTGGAAATGAGCAGGAGACGACCCTCCTCTTGGTGGGAAGGTATCCAGAAGGGATGGCTTTTCATATGGAATCGATACCACTTCAACTATTCCTTGCTCAGACACTTAAAAGGAGCCAGGGGGGCAGGGAGGGATCACAAAAGAGAATCCTTTTTTTTTTTTTTTAGGCATTTACAAATAAAAAGTCTAATTTTTGTAACGAGCAGCAAAGGTTGTAACCACTTTGGGGGGAAGCTGTTTTGTATGTTGTAGAGACTGCTTTTAAATTATCATTTTTGAGATGAACACGAGCGATGTAAATATGTATTTAAGACGAAGCACAGCAGTGTCCCAGTGGTTTTGGTAAACTCCCACAGTGCAGACTGACTGCAGAGCACTGTGTGAATTTGGGGTGTCTTCAGCCCTGCACGCAACTTAAATCAGAAAGGAGCTTTTTTTCCTCCCATCTTACAGGACATATCACCTGTTCAGTTGTTTTTTGTTTGTTTTCTTTTTAAAATGTGTCTACAAATGTGCATTTTGTCATCTGTGGGTAGGGAGGTGCTCGTGCATGTTCGCAGGTGCACAGGTACCATTTCTAACCATGGGAAGGGATGCTGCCCCTGGCTCTTGGAGCTGGGTGCTGCCCACCGTGTCTGGAAGAAGCTGGAAGTTGGGGGCTCGGCACAGCCCTGCTCTTTGCTGCCCGTGGTGGTGAGAGTGGGTCACTGTGCCATTGCAGCAAAGTGCTTGGGCATGATCCTCCTAACTTGAAATCCATTCCAGAGCTCAGCGGAGATGTTTCAGACGTGTCTGGTGTCCTCATACTCATTGCCATTGATTTCTGAGGGCTTTGAATGGGGCTGTTTGAGGCTCCCAAACTCCAGCTGAACTTGTAAATGTCTTTTGCAGTGACACTGGTGCCATTGAGCTGAATATTTGTGGTACCAAGTGCCCCGTTCTTTCCCCTCGTGTTTTATAGCTGCCTCTTTTGGATTACCTCCCCTCTTCCTTCTGCTCCTCAGCTTTGAAATATTTTACATGGGAGGGGAATATTTTTGCACAGAAACATTATTTTAGGTGCAAAGTCTCTTTATAGCGAGGAAGACGGATTGTTAAGGTTGATTTTCTTTCAGGTTGAACCAGAAAAACAGAAAGAGTGGGGAAGGCATCTTTGACAAACGCAGTAGAAGCACACAAGAGCGGCTGCTGTGGCCAACAG